GTTTAAATGTATTAATATAATACATTTATATACACTTATATAATTTGTATATAAGTAATACTATGTCATAATACAAAATTTTAATTACTGAGGAAGTCCCAAATATTGGGACGAAACGTTCAACTGATTAATAGATTGTTCATCTAATTGAAACCTGTCCAAAAAAATATCCCTAAGATTAAACTTAGTAATAATATTAGACAAATTTTGGATAAGACAATTTATTATATTATTTTGATGTTTTCGAATTATTCGTCATACTAATCAAATAATTTGTAGTAACATTTTTTAAAGGATTTGAGGATAAAGATATCATCCTAGTGTGTTTTATCATTCAACATTAAATTCCATCGTGTATCGTTGCGGATCTTTAAACGATATTTAGAATCCTATTACCTTAGTTTCTAATTTCGTGTGATCTCTTTTGAAAGAGAGAAAGAGAAAGAAAGAAAGAAAGAGAGTGAGAGAGAGAACGACGATACCGTTTCCGGTGGTACGCTGTGCTCGTTTTGTCGCGGCTGGGTTGCCTAGTTTCGTTCTTTCGTCCCCTCTAATAATTGTAAGTGCTTCGTAGTCCTCAAGTGATAAAGAAAGAAGAAAAGAAAAGAAAAGAAAATAAAAGAACAGAACAGAACCTCGACAACACTTCTTTTTTCGTGGGAGACACCTGAGGTATTTTCGAATAACCGGCTTGTTACGGTAACAAACACGTAACATCAGCACACTTCAAACTTATTTTAAATATACAAATTTACGATACTTACACAAGAATCTTATTTAATATATGTCAATGATGGTAAATATTACATTCGTAATAAATAAAAGTGTAGGGAAAATATACTTTTAAGATGAATAAGTAATTTGACTTGTTTTTTGTTGTTGTTAATTTTCAAAATTCCCGCTAGGTGCGATTGAGAAACACGACGCCATCTTTGTTTTTTGTCATTCCACGATTATCGTTATTCGATGATAACGTTTTGTCGTTCACACGTATGTAATTAGAACCAAACTACACGCATTTGGAATTTAACGATCTATTCGATAAAGGGATAAGATATTTTATATTTAATATATTATTTTCTATACCCTTTTGTTACAAAAAGTATCGTGGAACTAATGATACCAATCAAATCGAGTCAAGTAAAAGACTACATTTCTATCTTTCAAAGTAATCATACATATATACATACATATATATATATTTTATTCGTTTTCTTTCGGTATTTGTTTCCTTCTAACTTACGAACTTAAAAGAAGAATCATAATCAAGAGTAATACATCCCTTTAATTTTCAAATAATAATGATGACGATGACAATTCTTAAAAGTTTATCTATTAAAATCTAATACAATGAAGATTTTATCGTTGTCATCGAATTATGTCGTATATTTAACTTAATTATCACGTTGGAATGATTATAAAACGATGGGGATAGATGTAAAAAAGAAATTTTTCAGCAAATTGTCAGTCACCGGTCGCGAGATTATGCATATGTGTATACATATATTCATTAACGATACAAATCTCTTATTTGTTTCTACGGTAGTTGGGGGAGGGGAGAGTAAAACTGTGAAATAGGGTGGGGCAGGTGCAGGTGCAGGGACAGGGGAATCTACGGTGAACCGCTTTTGTTTTGATAACAGTATGAAGTTTCGGTCTACGTTAATCAGTGTCACGAAGTTAACAAATGTTCTTCGCAACTGTGTGTGTGCACGTTTATGTGGGTGGGTATAATAGTCAGACGAATAGATATTCTATTAAACTATATTTCGTATTTAATTCATCTCGCGTATTTTTTTGTTGTTTTTTTTTTTTGTCGAGTATATATATAATTATCGTTTGATACGATAGCAAGAGGAGTATCCAATGTCCCCCCCCCCTCCTTGTGCCACTATCTATTTTTCTTTTTCATTCATCGTTGCGGTATATTTTTTCAGGTTGTATTACACAACGAGTAAACGGCTCGCACGCGCGCGCGTGTTACTCGTTGATCATATCATCCATACAATTATATATATATGTATATGTATATGTATTGTAGATAGATTAATCTTTTGATGACTATCAATCAAACGTGCGAGATTCGAATGATTTCAACTGGGATTATATTTTGTTTAAATCGATATCCTTGTTACATATTATATATATATATGTATATGTATTTGTATATAGTGTAATGTTATCGATTGAACATTGTATTAGTAATTAATATGATGTTTGAATCAATAAGCAGAGTCTCTTATTCCTTTTGTAATGATGCAATTACATTTTCATTCGAAACAACAATGTGATCATAACCTATAAAAATGATGCTACATTTTAATTAGATGATAAAAGGAAAAAGATGAATAAGAATAAATAAGAAAATTGGAACGTTGTTTATCGTAAACCGTGTATAGATTCTTCTTCTACTTCTTCTTTTTCTTCTACTACTGTTCCTCTGCCACTCGAGATACCAAATAACTTCATTACGCAACTTTTCAATATTTAGTTTTGTCACAGTTATATTACATCGATATATACTTCTTTTACTTAAACATTTTCCTCGTTTGTATCTTAAAAATGTTACATAGAAAAATATCATTTCTTTAATATATTATCTCCTAAGTACAAAAACAAATAGAATAAAATAAAGAAAGTATTTGAATATGGACGCCATTTTCTTTTACCACTGCAGGATCCAACTAACAACAAAAATGCATAATTCCACGTATAACTTTATTATTTTTCTTGTATATTACGATCTTTACCGAATAATTCCTTTTTTTTTCATTAATATAAAATATCGAAAATTAATATCGTTTGTCAAGAAAAAACAAAATCGATATCACATGAGAAAAATCGTATTTTTCTGTATCCTGCATAAATTCGTTAGCTTTACCGGACGCTTGCTTCTCTTTAGGTTTCAAACACTTTTCCATTCTTCTTTTTCTTTTTTTTTTTTTTGCTCTCTACCTCCTACCAAGCAACATTTCCCCTCCATTCCCCCCTTCGTTCTCCTCTTTTACTCCCACTGCATCTTTTTTCTCGCACACCGAGTAGAAAAAGTCCCGGATGCCCGGATACTGTTCTCAGAAGGCGCTATCCCCACTCCTTCTTCTTCTTTCATTCTTTTATTTTTTTTTTTTTATTTAAATTGTTCCACGTTTTTTCCCTCTCTCTCTCTCTCTCTTTCTCTCATTGTTTTTTTCCTAACACCTTTTTTTCCCCCTTGCGCCTGCATTTTCGTTGCGACCAGAAACACGAATGATATTTTCTTCTAAGATTATCCMCCCCCCCCCTCCCCTACCACTCTCGTAGTGAGTTATTTTATTTCTTACTTTTTTTTTTCTTTTTTCGATCACATTATGACTCGTATACTTCTTGTTTTCTCTCTCTCTCTCTCTCTCTTTCTCTTTTTTATTTTTTGTCCTCCATGTTTTATCACGAGAGGAAGCTTTGATAAAAAAAAATACACACATATATATACATATATATGTTTAATCAAGTCGAATGAACAAACTTTGTGGACCGCAAGAAACATTTTATTCTAATTATAACATAACTTTGTAACATTGTATCGTATTATCGTAGTACCCCCCCCCCTTCCATCCCACCTATCTCTTCCTACTTGCTCGTTACGATACTTTTTCATTAATAAAAATCACGTATACGTCGAGTACGCTCAATGAATTTACAAATACACATCTCTATGTGTGTTATAAGAGAAGAAGAAAAAAAATTAAAAATTAAAAATGGATTAAAAGAAATCATCCGAGATGCGATTACGTACTTCAGAAATTTTGTTATATGTATTTTATTTTATTTTATTTGATTTTATTTCCGTGCCAAGATGTTAAAGAGGTCTCTCTTTCTTTTTTTTTTTTTTTTTTTTTTTTTTTTTTTTTTTTTTTTTTTTTTTTTTTTTAGATAAAAATTAAAGAAACATTGTATATAACTTTTTCACGTTTTTATTGTATTTTATCGAATACGAATTAGAAAAGGTTTTTTTTTTTTTTCTTTTCTTTTATTTTCTTCTTTCATACAACTTTTTTCAGATACGTTTTTTAATTGATTTTCTTGAACATTCAAAGAAATTCTTCTCCTTAGAGAAGGTAAAATACTAATATAAAATTTCGCATAGGTGTTAGACAAAGGACTGAAGTTTCGTACGGTATATATATAAGGGCTTCATTATGTTTTACAAGATGTGTTTCGTAAAGATGTTGAAGGGCGACGAGGGTTCTTCCATTATACGAACGCAGGTGTTCATGCAGATGTCACGAAACAGACGGTGTGTGCCAACGTATATACTCACGCATACATGCATAAGTGTATATACATATATGCAAGCAACATTTTCACTGTTCAGTTTGAAAGAAAAAAAAGAGAGAACAAATTTTGGTTGAAAGAGTTCTAGAAAACTATATTTACTTTCCCATATATATATATATAGAATAAAAGTTACACCATTATATCATCAGCAAACAAATGTGTATTTCTTCTAGTTTTGTAATTTCTCATTTTTCAAAGTATATATTTATTTCTTAAACACCTTATAGATTTTACAATTAATCAGAAAGGTAGTAGGAGCAGGGTGAGAATGAATTTTGTATTTTTCGTTGTTATTTTTCTTCTTAACAATTTTTTCAAATATATATTCTGTGTTTTCCTAACGAAGGAAACAATGTGTATCTTGTAATGGTAACTCTGGTAACGTAAAAAGATATATTTTATGATGAAGGTTCACAGGGAACTTGGACATGAAAAGAAGTAGAACTTAATTAAATTAATAAAATTAAATTTAATTAATTTTTTAAAATTAAGTTCTACTAAATTTAAATTAATAAAATTAAATTTAATTAATTTTTTTAAATTAAATTTAATTAAGTTCTACTTCTTTTCATGTCCAAGTTCCCTATGAACCTTCATCATCAAAAATTATAATTTTGGACGAGAGAAAATACTAAATAGATATATTTTATGTATATTAAATAAAAAATATATTATTGGTGTTTCAGAAAATTGGCAAAATGTTGTGATGGCGGAAAGATCTAGACGTCCGAGCTCTGAGCTCGGACCGGATCTCTCATCTCCTACCAATTCGAAAAAGTCTAGATTGTTGGAACCAACTGAAGAGGTTGCATCTTTTGTCACGGTCGAGGAAGAAGAAAGTTTGGAAAGTAGCGAAAGAATAGACTCACCGAAGGACGCTGAAGAAGAATCAACTAAATCTATAGAAGGTAGTAGTTCAAGTTTAGTTTTTTTCTAAATAAATTCTCATTTATATTTGATACATTTGACAATTTTTCAATTGTATTTTATTTTACAGAACATACAAACCCAATAGAGGAAGAAGCAATAGCAGGACCATCCAGAATAAGAGAAATTTCTGAATTCAATTCAGACGAAGATAATACCAATCAAGAAACATCCGACATGAAAGCTATCGAATTGGATTCCACTGTAAATATGCAATCATCTTTAATGGGTGAACGCGCGTTATACATACAATTAATTTATATTGGTAATGGTGCCTATGGCACTGTTTACAAAGCAAGAGATTCAAATACCGGTCAAGTTGTTGCACTTAAAAAAGTTAGAGTACCATTGACTACTGATGGATTACCCATGTCTACAGTAAGAGAAATTTCAACATTGAAACAACTTGACAAATTTGATTATCCACATATTGTAAGTATTTATCAATTAGATCAGCTGCCTTTTATATTGAAATTATTTGATTAATGTCTTCCAAATGTATCTCTTTAAATTAGGTCAGATTATTGGACGTTTGTCAAGGCAAGCGTCAAAAATTACCCTTTAGTGAAGTAATATCAAACGCATTAGATGAAAGCTTAACTCTCTGGTTAGTCTTTGAACATGTGGAACAAGACCTGGCATCTTATATATCATCATGTTCAGAGACAGGTATACCTTCCGAAATTGTTAGACAAATGTTCAAGGAGATTCTTCATGGCATTGAATTTTTACATAGTCACAGAATTATACACAGGGACTTGAAGCCACAAAATTTATTAGTCACGGCAGAACGAAGAATTAAAATTGCAGATTTTGGTTTAGCAAAAACGTATGCCTTTGAAATGAGATTAACATCTGTGGTAATTTAAATATTTCTTTTTTTTGTATTGCAGTTAAAGGATTACTTTACTTTCTATAGATTTTATATTGTTATATAGGTTGTAACTCAGTGGTATCGAGCACCAGAAGTTTTATTAGGTTGCTCATATGCAACTCCTGTAGATATGTGGTCAGCTGCTTGTATACTAGCTGAGATTAGTAAGTTGAAACCATTATTTCCGGGTACTAGCGAGGGAGACCAGTTGGATAGAATTTTTCAGTAAGCCTAATTATAATTATTATTTAATTATTAAAATATATGACTTATATAGATGCAATCATATATTTATATAAATATTTGCACGTGATATTTTAGAATTATTGGTACACCAAAATTAGAAGAGTGGCCTGATAATGTATCCCTTAGTTGGAATGCATTTCCTTATAGACGATCAAAACCTTTGAGTGAAGTAGTACCTAATCTTGTTGAAAGTGGATTAGATCTTTTACAAAAGTTGCTTACGTTCAATCCTCATTATCGTTTAACTGCTGCTCAAGCTTTAAGGCACAGATACTTCACTGGAAACCAAACATAAATTTGTGTTTTATCGTTTATCAAAGCAGAGAAGTATGTTTAGACTGATAGAATTATTTCTATGGAATCTTATTTATCTATTCAAAATATTATTTGTACATATAGAAAATTTTCCATATCATAATTATTATTTTTAGCTTATATTATAAACGGAGTTTAAATAATTTTACAATGTATACAAAATCTGAGCTTAGCTATTATATATATATATATATTATTTTAATCTATTCTTTATATATATATATATCAATTTATTATGCAGTAGTTATAACGTATAGTATTTAAAAAGGTATTTTATTAGTAACTCATAATATTTAAGCTGTGTTTAAGATATTTTCTAAAAAAAACAACACGAAGACACACTTGATTTTGTATTTCCAATGAAGTGACAAATTTTTAAAGATAAGTTATTGCTTCGTTTAAATGAATTATATACTTATATATTAGAATAGAATAACTTTTATAAGACTGGGGCCTTTTAGACCTATTAGAATCATTGGAAGATTTAGGATCTTCCTAAAAGACCAGAAAAGACACTGCCATATCATGTAATTGTAAATAAGAATTTAGTTATTAATATTATCATTGAATTTTATGTAAGATATCCGCTATTAATGTATACAAATCAGCGATATATATATATATATATACATATGTATATGCACATCTAAGATTAAATATTGTAATGTTTTATTACAAAAGTTAAAAAAAAAGACTGTATAATAATAGAATAAAAAAACATTTTATAGTTTTGTAAACTATTAAACTAATATTAATGACAAATTATTTATATTTCATTAAAAAACTACAATTCTAAATGAATTTATGATATTTGTTAAACATTTTTCTAATGAGAGTATATTAAATCTCGCGCCCATGTTTGAAATCAGCCATTTATTTGATATTTTACGAGCTTCATGATAAGGTAAAATCTAAAACAATATCTTCAAACTAATGACGTAAATTTCATAGCTAGTAAATAGACAATTCATTGGAAACATATCTTTAAAAATGTTATTCCTAAATCTTGCATTAAATTCGTCTAAACGTATCGTATATTCGAGTGCGAAATTATCGATAAACTCGGCGTTAAAAAGAAAAATGGCGACCGAAGTGGAAAAAGCACAAACCGCAACTCCCGGTGGTGATACAATATTTGGAAAAATATTGCGTAAAGAAATTCCATGCAACTTTATTTACGAAGACGATAAAGTAAGCTATTAATAATTGATATAAAATAAATGAATATATTTATTTATTATCTATATATTATCCTGAATTATTCGACATGATTCTCATCGATTTGTATTTTTTGTTATTAGTGTGTTGCATTTAATGATATTAATGGACAAGCTCCTGTACACTTTTTGGTAATACCAAGAAAACCAATTTCCCAATTATCCAAAGCCGATGACGAGGATGAAGCCTTATTGGGACATTTAATGTTAGTAGCACGAAAAGTTGCGAAACAAGAAGGTTTGGATAATGGTTTTCGTTTGGTTGTTAATGATGGAAAGGATGGTGCACAATCGGTGTTTCATTTGCACCTGCACGTACTCGGTGGTAGGCAGATGCAATGGCCTCCAGGCTAAAAATTCCAATTATTTGATCTGATCTTATATTTTGAATTATTTGAAATCAATAAATTATAATCATTTCTTTTTTTTGACTCCTAATAAACGAGTGAGATCATGAAATATTGGGTTACACGTGAACAATTTATTTCTATGGTATAAAAAAATATATATGTGTAATGTTAAATGCATTATAATGAATTTTTATCTTATTCTTATGGAAAATGATAGTAGTATTTGTACTTCAATATCTTTTGATTTTTCATTCTCAGTAGCTCGCTAAAAATTACGGACATTTATTTAATCCTTTTTTTCGTAAACTTTATACTCGAATTGAATTCCATTTTCTTCCTGAATTCCATCAGGAACATTGGGATCCCTAAATAAAAGATTATAATTATAAACTTCACGATACGTTAAAAAATATTGACGAAACTTACTTGACCGGTACGAGATCAGTTGAAAGTTCCGGGAAAAATACATCACAATCGAAGTGTTTCTTTATTTTTGTGAGATACAAACGATGAAAATGCGGAGATTCTAATGCGGCCTGTGATTAAAATATGAATTTGATAGGTGGGGAAAAAAAGAAAAGAATATAATGAAGAATGTAAATGTACTTTGTAAACAGAACTTCCACCTATGACCCATACTTTGTCCACCTGTTCATACAATGGTGACCGAGATATAATGTCCAGTGCATCTGTAATACTTTTGCAAGAGATCGCATCGGATCCAAAGTTTCTAGAAATGTTGTATAAAACATTTATGAATTCTTCGTTAAAAGTTTCGTTTGAAATGTTTCAATCATTTATGTTCGAAATAATTACAGAGATTGTCTCGTCAAAACCATGTTAATACGATTGCTCAATGGTTTATACTTTGGTGGTATAGAATCCCAAGTTTTTCTACCCATTAATACAACATTTCTTTTATTTTTATTGTTTGTTTTTAACGTCATATGAGAAAAATATGCCATTTCTGTTCTAAATATAAAATATGTTAGAAGATAATAATCGTAGTCGAGAAATGTGAACGTTACAATAAGATATAAGAATGAAAACTTACTTCAATTTCCACGGCAAGTTTCCATTAATACCAATTCCTAAGTTTTCGCATGCAGCTGCGATTAAATATAATTTTAACTGCATCTTTTAAGCAAAATACAAACTTTTGAAAATATTCGAATAGCATGCGGACGCCTTTAGTAAACCATAAACCCACGTGTATATATGATTCGTGTGAGAGTTATCCATAAAAATACCTAGCTAAAATTGGTCACTAGGTGGTGATAAATATACACATTCGAAACTATTGCCTAAAACGTAATTCAGATTTTTCCCATTTTTAATTGTATTATATTACATATACACACAATATTATTTATATTTACGTACACAGTTTCTTTTTATATTTATAATAATAATGTCTTTTTTTAATTAGGAGATAAATAATATATACTATTATTATAAAACAATATATATTTAATTAGATAATAATATTCATTATGTATATACTTTTACGTAAGACAAAGTACATCTAATTTCCATATTTTAAATAATAATTTTGTTATAGATATTTACATAATAGTATTATTACTTATAATTAAAATTTATTTATGATTTCTGTTTCTTATTACTCGGACCGCTATCTTGTTCATCAGTTTGAAAAATAGTTTTTGGTTGAGTCCTTTTATAAGCTGGTGCTATCCAATATGGATTTTCCTCAGCTACTTTCGCATATTTCAAAATAGCCTCTCTAGGATCCTGATCATCTTCTATTCTTTTACTGAGTCCAAGATTACGAATAACATAAGAACTTAATGTACCACCGGATGATGCTACCCTTCCACCTTGACCAGAAGTAATTGGTAAATCTGGACGTCGGGATTTAACAGGATCAAGACGATCCTTTTCCATTTGTTTTCTAACAGATTTAGGTCTGTCTTGTCTAAAGAGTGGTAACGCGTGCGGTGTAATAATTTGTTGAGTAGACATTACTTCCATGTGCTTATGTTTGAAATGAGATTTGACAACACACAATTTAGCACCTCTCATACTTCTGTTGATATCGTAATAAGCTTTAACAGTACCATTTCCGCAACCAACGAATAATTGATTTAATTTAGGATGCCATAGAGTTTTAATAACGTGCGAATTGGTCACCGGTATTTCATTAACGAGTTCAAACGTTTTAGTATCGTAGAATAAAATTTTACCCATTTCTTGACCTTTCCTTAAAGATTCTCCAGTAACTACCATAGAATCATCAGGACTAAACATACAATCGGTTGTTTCGTATCGAGAAAATAAATCTTTAACTTCAAATATTGGTACTTTGAATGCCCTCAAGTCCCATAATTTTAACGTGTCGTCGCAACTTCTCGTTGCCAATGTTTGTCCAAGATAAGAAAAACTTAAACTGGATATTTCATTGTTAGAACCATGGGCATTTCTTAACGTCAAGGATGGATTGACAAAGTTTTTTCTATGATCCCACATTTGTATGGAACCATCTATACACCCGCATGCCACAACAGTTCCCTCTCGACTATAACTACATGTAGTTGGAATTGTTTTAACACCATTCTGTGCTCGACATTTGATAACATTTTTATGACCACGTGGCCTATGTAACAACCAAATTCTACAAGTGCTGTCTTGTGAACAAGTCAAATATTCCTCTTTATTAAACGGATGCCAACATCCACAATTTAATCCTGCAGTGTGACCCTTTGTACGTGCCATGTCAGTTATATATTGGTCACCTTTTACAGTTTCACATTTTTCAAAACCATCTCTATCTAATACTTTAGCTTGAGCTGCTCCTGATATAACTAATATTACATCTCCGGTAGTAGAGTATTGTAAACATTTGACAGGATGATTTTCACATGGTTGCAAAGTTCGAAAACTTCTTAAAGACGAATCCATACCAGCAAAATCCCAGAAACAAACATCGTAATCGATAGACCCTGATGCAAGTCGTGCACCAGATGGATCTGCAGCAATTGCTATAACTGCTTTAGTACCATGAGTCATAGTTACTTCATGTGTGCATGGAATTTTATCTTTTAATAACATTTCCTCTATCTCGGATTCATCGTCTTCCTCTTCCTCTTCCTCTTCCACTTCTCGTTTTTCTTGTTCTTCTTCTTCTTCTTCTTCTTCTTCCTCTTCTTCATATTCTTCTCTTTTATCCTCCACAATATTTTTGGAAGATAGTACTTTAGACTCACTAGCCATCTTATTCATAGTTTTTGTTTATTTAAAAACGAAAATAAGATTGTAAAATTGTTTATTTTTTAATCGTACGAAATAGCCAAGAATATTGACGTGTGAAATTATACAATGCAACTATGATTACATACTTCAACAAAGAATAGAAACTACGAGTTCATGCAATTCAGTGCAGTGCATCGAAATATTACTGAATAAATTTGCAGATGGCGCTGTTGAGACTAGTAATATAAAACTTTGAAATAGGTTTAACTTATTTATTAGAAAAGGATTACGTCAAGAACACGCAATATTTTTATTGTACGAATAATATATTTAATGCATAAATGTTTAAATGATCGACAGATTCTTTTTTACTAACTATCTATATTTATGTGTTAACTAGATTGGAAACTTTGAGTTGTCTTATAGATAGGAGCTTCATAGTTTTGTCGTTGGCGCTTCGATCGCGTTACCGGTAAAAAAGGTAACTTATCTTAAAATATTAAAAGTTTAGTGTATCATCTTGAACGTAAGATGATGTTAGTGTATATCTTCTTGAAAATTTAAAAAAGATTTAAATATTCAAATGATCAAATTGTATATTATTAATTAATTATTAATTAATAATCTACAAAGATGTGTTTTATATAGCATCCATTATATAAAATCATTTGTCAAATATATCTTCGTTAGAAAAAATGATATCCTTAATGTTATCTCAAAAGATAATAAAAAAAAATATAACGATTTAAAAGGATAATGAATTTTATATAAAAAAATATTATTAAAAAAAGAAAAACTCTGGAAAGTTTTATTTGCAAATATAAGTAATGTGTGCGACCGTATGTGATCCACGTTGGCATGCGTTCCTTGCTAAGAAGGGTGGATGAGGAAGGGGGTAAAGAGGGAAAGGGGGAAGGAAAAGGACACGCCGCGTGTGCACGGCCGACTGCCTGCGAGTGGCTGCTTTATTATTAGCAGTTCTTGCTGGATCCTTTGATGTTAGCCGACTCGAAGCACTCTACGCCACTCACACCTGTCCGACTGCCGTTTCTACTTCAATCAGGAAAGCAGAAAAATGTCTCTATCTTCTTACTTATTCGAGAGAGAGAGAGAGTGATAAAGAGAGGGGGAGATTTACGAAAGAGAAAAAAAAGGAAAAAAAAAAGATAGTTTGTTTCATGTTTTTTAAACTTATACATTTACATTAAAGTGAAATAAACGAATCAATTTCTTTGAATCATTTCGTTAAGCCAAAGAATAATATAATTTTCATTTAAAAAATGTCTACGCGTTTATGTTTAATTTTTTAACACGATATATGTGTAATATGGGTTTATATGGGTATAATAATAAATATTAGTTGACATATATATTTTATTAAAAAGATTGCTAATAAATGTTGGGAATTTTTAAATCGAGAATCACTGACGAGTCGGCTGGTAATCTTAAGAAGTTGAGTACCACCGGAGATCATTACGTTATGGCGTAGGGCCCGCAAGGGTGGGACTAGTGGGTCAGCCAAGCGAACCGAATCTCCCCTTCACGCCTTAAAAAGGTCAGTCGAAGCCACTACCCTCTTCTCATTCGCTATATATATATATATACTTACATTTCATTTTCATTTTTCTTTTATATATATTCTCTTTTAAAAATTATCTTTTATATTTTACGTTACAATATATTTCTACGTTTGTATAATACTTGTGTTGAAAAGAAAATAAGGAAAAAAAACACTAAATGCAAGTAATATAAAAAAAGAAATTATTTGTCATCGAAATAATTTACTCGACGATATCCAAAAGCCAAAAA